ACTAAGCAGCCAGTAGATGCATCCTTACAGCTTTTGTCTGGTGTAGGGATTCACATGCTATTCCCTCCCATACTATGGCAATGGGTTAACTGATAAGATCACTGTGGAAAGAAATGGATTTTAAATAATGTGCTTCTGATTTAAGCGTGTAGATGTGAATTTAAGCATCAGCACCATATTTGGGAATCCATATGTAAGAGTCATGTTGAGAGTCACATTTCAGAGACTGGGATGGAAAGGCATCACGTGGCAGGAGATGCATGCTGAGGAAGGAGAACCTGATGCTGTGCAGCATGTGGGACAGCTCGGCTGTGGGTTGAAAATCTTCCTTGTGAGAAGTCTGTTTGAAGAGGAGCAAATGTGCTTGGACACAGTCTGCATGGAGCAAGTAGTTCTTGATTCTTGAGCCTTGGACTCCTGCCAGATTAGCTTTTGGCGACCAGCTGGACAGATTTACTGAATGACACTTGGGCAATAAAAAGCTGAGTGTTAGCAGTTTAATTTTAAGTGTCTGATCCACTAACTCTGTACTGTAGATGTAACTTACCAGACGATGTGCAGTGTTTGCCAGCCACAGTGGCAAATGTGCCCAATACTTTGTTCAGTGACAAAAGGTAGTGCTAACGTCTGCTTTGTCTGCTCTTTCCTGCACTATGTTTGCAGTTATTTATTTATGAATTTTTGTCTCATTCCTGTCTATTTCCACTTCCTCCGTTTTTTTCTTCGTTTCAAATCAGTGAAGGAATACAGGAGTAAGAACTGGGGGAACTCTCAGCCCTCCCAGTCAGTCTGCTTTGGTCCTTTCCAGGAAGAAAAGCAATGTAGGAAATGGTTAGGAAGTCAAGCCTGCTCTAGGATACTGCCATTTAAAGGCCATTCATAGGCACATGAAAACTTTTTGTTTCTCTCAGCCATTGCATCTCCTTTCAGTGACACTAATATTTATTTCTTTCTGATTAATGTCATGTATACAAGGAATAACTGGTGCTTTTAATGTAACAACAAATGCGCATAACTGTCTAGAAATATTTAAATTTTCTTTGTCACAAGACAAGGTCTTTTTAGGTTTCAGTCTCTACAACCTCAGCTGCCTGTGAACATCTGGGAAAATAAGTACATGTGACAACAATGCTAAGACAACTGGGTTTTTTATTGTTTTGGTTTGCTGGGGGAGGGTTTGTTGGGTTTCTTTTTCCTTTCTTTTATGTGTTTGGGGTTTTTTTCCCCTTGAGGGTGATAGAGGGTAGCTCAGGTGCTTAGCTTTCATCCTGTTTTTTTCGGACTCAGTCAGTTCTTAATTAAATGTGTGGCAGAGACCTTTGTTGCATATTGTACCATATGATGGTGAATAGGTTCATGTAATAGTGGTATTATATGAATAGTATATAGTACTAAAATAGACTGAGAGGGCATGGTGTTTTCCAGTATGTGTATAGAAAGCACTGTTGCCTCTTCCTGGAGGTCATTAGGTGTCACCTCAGAGTGGTAGTTCAAAAAACAGATTTAGATATTTTAGAATTACTTCTGCATCATAAAAATAGCAGTAGGAATGGTAGTTACTGCAAGAAGAAACTGCAATTTGCTGTGGAAAACAGTCTTTGTTGTTATGCGTGTTCTTAGCAAGGAGAAATACCTTTCCTGTGTAAAGTCATTAAGGGTGTTGGGGTGAGATCTTGTTAGTTAACTTCCTCAAGAAATCAGAAGTTAAGTGAACAAAATGCAATCATTTGTGTATTTTCTGTTGTTTATTTACAAAGAACATGAAAGCAAAACATTCAGAAAAAAAAATCATTCTAACCTTCCTTTTTCACCCTTCACAAAGTACATGATTTTTGTCTTCATGTTTTTTTCACTTAAAAATTCTGGTATTAAGGACTGAACTGAAAGGTTCATGATCATTTTTTCCCAAAGAGATGAGAATATATTTAATCACAATCCATAACACACAGAGAAGAGCAGCCTCTGACTGCGTGTGAGATCCTGGATCCAAATCTCACCGAATTATTGATATGGGTCAGAGCCAATTCACTGTGAGTGTATGTGTATGTGGGGAAAGGCTGGGCCCAGACCTGCAGGTCCATGGTAAGGTCTGCACATCAGGCCTGTGCTGAGGGCACGGGGCAGAGCTGCAGGCCCTGCAGCCGGGCTGTCAGTCAAGGCAGAGCAGCCTGGTAGCCCGCCCACACCACACCCCTGCAGCCTGTGGCTGGCTACAGCAAAACTCAGTTGGGCCTGGAAGGCGCTGACAGGATATCCTGCCGGGGAGGGAAAACTGAACTCTAATACACGATACTCCATGCAGTCCCTCTCTCTCCCTCTCCTTCCCCCTTGCAGCCTGAACCATGTGAGTCGGTAACCCTTTTTTTCCTCCTCTCTCTTCCCTCTTCTCCCTCTCCAGCCAGCACCATCCGAACCATCAAATCTTGTCAGTAACTATTGTGTGCTTTCTCCTTCTCTCTTTCTTCTGTCTTTCCTTATTCCTTTTAATCTGTTTTCTTTTACTCTTTTCTTCCTCTTGTGGGTAGCTTAAAACGAATGAATTGTGTTTTACTAAAGCTGGTATATGGATTGTTTTAGTGGGTATTTCCTATGGACACTAATTAGAGGTTATAACGAACCAAAAGGCTTTTAAAAAGTCTTAAATAAAAAATGCAACCGCTCTGGTCAGTTACAGCTTAATCTGGAGCGCAGCACTGGGGTCCCACGTACCTTGCTGTTGAGGATATTGGATTTAGAACTTTTTGCCAGTGACACTGAAGGACAGAACCATCTTTGGTTTTTTGTGTGTGCGTATGACTGGAAACCTGGTCACAGCAAACTGAGAGCCTGCTTTTATGTGACCGTTAGAGTGCAGAAAGGCATTTTGTTATAGTATTGTTTTTGCTAGCATCACCTGTTGAGGAGCTTAATGCAATAATAATCTGGCAAACTATGACCAAAGCTCATAATTACACAGAAAAGCTGGACTGTCAAAAGCACATGCCTACCACTAAGCTATGTCTGATTCATTCGCCCAGCAGGGAAAGTCAAACTGTTTGAACAGCTAAAGGAAAACCAGTCTTGTTTGCATCTGTCAGCTTTGACCAGGCACTTGTGTTTTGTTTTTCTGTGATTGCACTTAAAACTTTTTATTCTCTTTTGTCTCTAAATGTGTTGAGCACCCATGGAATCAGATCCACTTTTCTGATATATTTCTTTTTAAAAGGAACAGGAGGAGTGAAGAGGACTTCTTTGGCTCTTGTGTAATTTGGTTTCAAATTGTGATTTGCCTGGAAGTTTAAAATCCATATATTTTCGTTTTAATTTATGACTGCTTAGGTGGAATAAGCATGAAGGGAGAGACAAGAATAGGCAGAGAAGAGGTGAATAATAAAAATGAGAAGAGGCAGAACTATCTTTGGAAGAACTGGAGATTGTCAGTTGCTCAGTGGTTTGGAAGAGCCTGTGCTGTGTCCCATTCATTGGTTCCTTCTGTCTCCTCTTCCATTATCTTTGACTTTGGTGTTCATCCCACCTTAAAATGACCTGAACTAATTTTACATGAAAGTGAAGATATGATAAGGGATGGGAGTCTCTTATCTCCAGGAGTACTGCTTTAGCTGTTAGTTAACAATAGCTGTTGAACATTATGTGAAGGAGTAAGTGGGGAGATAGTCATGAGATGTGAAAGGGATGAGTTCCTCCAGGGGATGAAATTTTCATCTTCTGGATTTTTGGTATCATGTATGACCTACTTACTCTTATGTTAAATTAAAGCCTCACACTGCAGAAGTTTCTGGTTTTAGAGTTTGGATTTGCTTCTGAATAAGCAACTCTTCTTTTGTATGATGGTCCTTGTTAACAGTTGTTTTGGTTTTTAGACAGGGAGGTGGATGACGGAATACAAGGAAAGTTTGATCCAGCAAAAGGACTACCGTTTACAAAACTGAAGTGGAGGATTAGGTTGCCAGTTCCAGTTCATAGCTCACTTAATAATTTAAACTAATGTTCTAAAGTTGCAATTTTTGTAGCATGTTATGATACTTGGATAAGACAAAGAGTTTTTTTCTGAAATAAGTGGCTCTACCAGTTGTTTTTATTTCTGTAACTGGGTTGCCTTTCTGTGGCAGTTTGAGCCACATTAGAAATCTAAAATCCAATTTCCAGCCTTCCCCCACCCCTTCTCAACAATTTATCCTAACACTGGAGAGAAACTTTCAGGACAGAGGCTTCTGTAGGGGAAGGGGGAAATATATACATTTATTTACACAAATAAATACTATACAAACTAAAGGCAACTAGATATATATATTACATTACTATCAGTCAGTCCTTTCAAGCCCCTCCTTTAACTTTAGTCCAGGAGCAGCCTTTAAGGCTGATATGTAACACAGTCTACCGTGGGAGTGTTCTGGGCTCCTGAACACTCCCTCCTCACCAAGTTCCAACAGTTGTTTGTTGCAGTCTCTCCTCATGAAGTCCGAGAAGATAGCTTTGAGTCCTTGCTCTTCTGCTGCTGGTGATTTCTCCCTCTCGGTGTCTCACCTCGGTTCATAGGCTGCTGCAGTGCAGCTTATCAAGCGTCCACATCCTGGAATCTTCGTTCCTCCACATCAGTTCTCAGCTGCCCCCAGTCAGCTTCGGCAGGCAACTCTCGAGCTCATGGCTCGCCTCCAATTTCGCCTGGGATTCTTCTCCCGAGCGCCAGGCCTACCTCCACGACCCATCTCTTGGCTCAGCTTCAGTGTTGAGCCTCTCCTCCACTTACAGCAGAGGGAAAGAAAAAGCCCCCCTCTACAGCTTCACTGCAGAAAAGGAGGGGGGAGAGAGGGCTTGGCTGCAAAGCCTGCCTCTCTCCTCTTACCTCAGGTGCTGTGAATCTCTTCCTTCACAGCACACACTCCAAATGCTGCCTCCAACTCCGGCCCAAGCAGAATTGGGGAGTCGCAGGGCCCCCCTCTTCCCCCCGGAGGGGAAGAGAGGGAGCCCAGCCACCCCCTGGCCTTGTCCACCTACACACAACAGACACCAACAGCAAAACAACCAAGACAGAACTTGCCAAAAGCTTCCAGTGCTGTGATATATGATTTTGAGCAGAAGCGAACAACATGAGTGGTGATTGGCTCTCCAGGGAACACTGTCCTGGCACCCAAACACCTCTGAGCCCCCCCAGCCTCTCAGGGGGGCCAATTTCAGACTATGACACTTTCTCATACAGTTTATATTATATTCTTATGCATTCTGTATGAAGAGGAGGGATCAGTGTTGCCTGCTTGCTCACTTGCTCTTGCTTGTGCATACACACATACACGTGCTTACTTTATCTCATAATATCCATTTAGGGGGTTAAGGGAGGGAAGGAGAAGAATATAAACAGAAAAACCACATCCTGACAGCTGCCTCCAGTTAGTCTTGTTTTCTTCCAGACTTTTAAGTCTTACAGTGGCTCCTAATTTGTCCCACATGAGTCTTCTCCCAGTGGGGCTGTTTTCCATTTCCTTTTTGCTTTCATTTGATCCAAAGTAAACAGTTAACAAAGAATAAACCAATTCAGGCAGCTGTCAATGGACCATCAGCTTTCAGGTGTCTCAAACAGGAAGAAGAGGGCATATAATTTTGAAGGTAAGAAGGGAAAATGGTACTGAAACCTGATGCATTATGTGGACCAGAAAAGTATTTTGGGGTCTTAAGTCTGCTTAAGACAATATGATCACAGACTGTCCAGGAGATAGATTTTGGGATGGCTGACATTGTTTTGTTAACATGTGTACAAAGCTCTTCAAGTAAAAAACCTTTTAGATTAAAAATACATTGGGTGTATGACTCAAGATGAAAAACCACAACACTTCACTCATAATTCATGAGATCACAATAGCCTTTCCACAGAGACCTATTGGAGTATATAAGTGTTGCAACTGCCACATATGGTGATGCTGATTTTTAAGATGTGGTTTCCTACAAAGTCTGAATGCATCTTTTATGTAGAGGAGTGTCCAGGAGCAGGGTAGATAACCCACCTTTATCTTGGAGATGTACAGACATGTCAGAACATCTTTCTCCTGCCTCTCCAGTTAGGTTATTATTTTCTAAGTAAAAATTACTTATCATGCCTGTAAGACTCAACAAAGTCATTTATCATGTCACTTGAAAACTTCTCTAGTCTATGTTTAGGAAAGAGCTAAAGGGTTCCCTTTATGTTTCATCCAGAAAAACTCGAAACCGAAACAAGAAATGATGCCAAAATAATACACTTTATATTAAGGTCTCCAAAATAAGTGGCAATGCAGCTAGTTGCCTGCAGGTCATTATTGGCTCTGCCTTACAGTATTAGAGTAAAACCTACCTCACCAGCTATGTATGTCTGTCTGTGAAAACCTAATACTATCACAGAGGCTCTGCTTCCACTGAAATTTGGCGGTCTATCTACACAGACACTCTTCCTGTCATTGCCTAGCTTTGGTGGCTTATTTGGGTTTTCTCCCCCCCCCATCCTGTCTACAGTCTCTATGAGAATGATTTTCAGAGAGATGATTCTTGCTACAATGATATTTGGTGTATTTCTGTAATGGAGGTTTTGGGGCTTAGTGCAGTGTTCTTTAGGTTCTGCAGTTTCTCAAAAAAATTGACAGAAGAAAGTGAGCTGTGTTTCTTAATTTTGCTTTCATTGATTTCTGCTATGTGGAAATGACTAATAGCAAAGTCATTCTGTAATGTTAAAAAGTAATGCAGTTGTCTTTGAACACCTAATTGTTTCTCAAGCAAGTAATCCTGTTGGCTTTATCTGAACTCCAGGGAGAAGTGAGATCCAAGGGAGACTTAGGCTCCTGAAGGGTGAGCTCTAGTCCTTGCAGTAGTCCTGAGAAAAGGCAATGTAGTGAGGGCTAGCTGGGGCTTGGATGTGTTTGCCAAGAAAAGTTAGTTCTGCTGAATGTGAGGAGAGAAATGTATGGCAGAAATGGACCCTGAGATCTACTAGGTTTTGTGAGAAGCAACAGGCAGGTTAGAGGAAGCTTGGTATCAGGACACCTCTAGGAAGACTTTTGCACAAAGGGTGGAAGGTTGGCTGCAGCCAAGTTTGCGAAAGACAGACTGAGGCAGCCTTA